ACCACCGGAAATGCAACAAAAACAGCGACGAGAAGTGTGTCAATGTGTGCTGATTATGGTGTGGTGTGTGTTGCTGTTGCCGCTCTTGCTGCACGTCAACGGCCATGCAAATTTTAATACGAAATCGGGATTACCCAGTCGAGTTGTTCTGAGCTAGTTGCAGCAATAGCAGCAACAGCTAGAGGATGCACAAGAGCAACAACAGCCAATAACTAGCGGCGATAATAATGCCTCGACAGCAGCAACATCAAGCGGCAGAGCTGAATTTCTGCCAGCGCGTTGATTATCCCAATCAGCAACACTTTACCAGCGTAAATCTATTTAATTTGCTATTGGCCCCCATGAAGTTAGCCCCCCTCCTCATCCCCCCCACCTCCGCTCCCCGGCGGTCTGTCGTAAACCACAAATCAGCTGTTTGGCCGTCGCTCTTGTTAAATGTAATTGAACCTGTTCTTAAAGTTTTGTTTTGTAATTTATTATTGGCGCATGAGTTGCAAGCCGAAAAGCGGAGAAAATAGCCCCGGTTGTAGTTTGGAGTTGGAGTTGGAGTTGGGAGCTTATTGCTTGTAGAGACCCACGATCATCATTATCATCAGCTGAGTGATACTGATGATGATGATGATGATTGAGCGGCCAGGCATGCGAAGATCGCGCGCTCTTTTGCCAAGATCGTGCCTGACGCGTAATTGATTATTACGAGAGTGCGGCAAAAGCAGCAACACCAACACCACCACCACCACAACCATCAGCAACATAAGCCAAGCCAAGAGCAACATCAGCAGCAGCAGCAGCAGCAACAGCAACAACAACAGGAAAAATGCCAGCGTAATGATGTATTAGTTAAACTTGGCCAACCGGTTCGCATTTCGGCCATGAAAAACGGTTTAGAATTAGGAGCCGTGATTACATACTTCTGGTGCCCCATGCCATCATGCCACGGATCCAAGTGCGTTGAAATTGAAAAGAAGTGGGCATCATGTTGGTAAGTTGCTGTTGCCATGGCTCCAGTGGCTCCTCATGTTGCTCATGAAGCTCATGATGTTGCTGGTGGGGATCCAGATTGGAGTGCAGTTCCAACAGCTCTAAGAATGTTTCACCAACCCAGGTACTTGTGTGTGGTGTTTTTTATGGTGTTATAAGGAAACCAAAACTGCATTGCACTGCTAAAGCACATTATAAATCTTGGTTTTTGGTTTTTATTGGTCTTAATGAGCCAAATATAAACGTACTAAAACAGCAATTACATTTTTAATTTTTATTAAGAGCTTGTTGTGAAGGAAGCAGATACATAAAATTAACTTAATTACAAGTTTACAAGTTTATTACAGGTTACCCGATATTGCTCGCAATCAAAAGATTAAATACTTAAAAAGCAACCTTCTTATGGCTAAGAAGTCTAATAACTGTGTGGGAAGATTAACTACAATCGCATGGTTAAATAATTCTTAAGTACATGTTAAAAGCCTACATTCCATACAAATTGTTGAGAGTACAAGAGTGTTTCCTTACATTTTCCCAAAGTGCTTTTAATGCCGACAGTCCAACAGCTGGGCAATATATATTCGATTCTGCGGACTCGTATCTAATGGCTCCGGCGAAATTGACAGCACAAAAAGCTATGCAGGGCTATGCTGCGCCGACAACGAGGGCCATAACTCATAAACTGAAAACTGCAGCACATACCAAATACCAAGGGTCTACCATACGCGACTGCCAGTGCCGCCACACGAAAAACTCCAATTTTAATTGCTCGACATTAAACGATCGACAACGAACGACAACAGAGTCGCCTTCGAATCGCAACTTTGGGCTTTCGATGCTGGCGAATAGCAATACCAAATAGCAGACCGCCAGTACCATAAAATATGCACGTTTCGTTTGTTTGCCGTTGGTTGGTTTGCATATGTCCCCCAACCCCAACCCCAACCCCAACTGCAAAACCCAAAAGGTCCCGGCAATATGGTCCGCGGATCGAAGCTGGGAGACTGAGAGACCAGAAAACCGCGACGGAGCAGACAGCATTTAGCGTACGATTTGGCGGCGCGAAAAAGATAAACTCATAAATTATGGCATTGAATGTCACTTCAGCCACCGCAAAATGCTGAACGTTGAACGCTGAACGCTGAACGGCAAACGCCGACAATAGCAACAACGACAAACTCGAAGCCGGAATCCCCGATTCCCCCCTCGGTTCCCCAGTTTTCCGCAGGCAGGAATCGGCGGCGGTCGGCACCGGCGATAATGAAGCCCATTTTAAAGTCACTACCATTCAATGCGATTTGATTTACAATCCCATTTCGATTATAATCGATGATGATGTGTGTGCGCGCTTCGGTCGAGCCATGAACTTGCATATAAATACCAATCTGTGTCTTTGCCAGTTTTGCAGACGGTCGCTGGCAGAATCGGGAAGCTGGGGGTTCCAATGGCCGGGGGGAGTTGTTGGCCAGGGAGATGGGGAATGCTAAGCAGAGCAGATCGGGGGTCGGCGGTCTCTAGCGGTTTTCCAAGGAAATCGAAACGCTGCCGCAGACTCGAGCAGGAGTTCAATCTTGTCTGGCCGAAGGCAACTGGCAACAGGCGCTGCACAGTGGGTGGTTTTCAGCTTTAAATGTATCTCTAAATTTCAATGTTTGGCTTAAAAGGTGCTTGAACTATTTATGTAAAATGCAAGTGCAAATATTCAAAGGAAATCAATTATTAAATGTAAGCCATCAATCATATTTAATGTTTATGTTACAGTTTTATTAGCCCTCTGGCGATTGTGTGGCCAACCTTAAATTATGCTCTTAAGTGATTACTACAAGTTATTATATTTTTCCTATTCGATTATTTTAAATGCCTGAGGTCATAGTTACTCAAGAGGTTCTACTATTTTCATTAAATTATTTCTAAAATAAACAAGAAAAGCGTTTAATTAAAATCCTCTCCTTTTTTAGGAAAGTTGTAATATTTATTTTGCTTTAAATTTGCTTGTTTTGGTACCACTGTACAGTGACGTCTGGCAGTCTTGTCCGTCCGCTTTACCTGTTGGCGCAATTGAACTTGAATACGTTTCGGCAGCGGCGTTTTAGTTTAGTTGGCCCGCCAACTTGTCAGACAAACGAATGCGGAGCTAACGAACCCACAGACCAACCCCCCACCCCCCACCACTCCCCACTCCCCCTTTCCACCCCCTCAATTGCCCCACCATCTGCGGAGCAGTCCGATGATCATTGTCGCATCCGCCACGATGGTGGCAATTGTTTTGATGGCTGCTGATAACTGCAGCGGCGGGGGGCAAGTCGATTCTCTCTGAATCTCCACTCTGGGGACAGAGGGACCCCGAAAAAAAACAAAAAACAACATACAAAACTGAAGACAAAACGAAGTTCAATACAATGGAACCTTATATTTTGTCACCAGTCTGGCAACAGTTCTTTATGGCCTTTTAATTGAAGCTGAAACCATTAACATGGGCCATGCCGCTCCAGCCCACGCGATGCCGCTTAAATTTATTACAACTTAATTGTTAACGTTAACGTTGCTCGGTACTCTTGTATCTGCCGTTGAGCTTACGAATATGTCTTAATTTTTGGCGTACCGCCCACTCAATAAAAACACCCCATGAGTTTTGGGCGGATCCGCAACTGGACGTGACTTAATTTCTATATAGAACAGTGTTGTTAGAGGGAGATTGTATTTGTGGCGAGTTTATGAATTTCAGATTAATTTTAGAAATTAGAAAAATACAATTATAAATATACACTAAAATCTTAAGAAATAAAACTTTTAACTGAGATCCAGAATAATATAATATTTAACTTCAACCACCTTTATGCAACTTTAAAAAGTATATAATCTTTTTCTCCCATTTGTCGCAATTTAACGCCCACAAATTTTGCCGGGATTATGGCCATTGGCGAAAGCGCCTGTCGCACATTTCTCACTGTCCCTAGATGGCAAAGTGGTATCCGGATATACAAATGCAGAGGATCTGCTTCCCAGGCAATTAGCTCAAATGTGGTGTGCGACTGTGATAGAGTCGCCCACTTAGTAGGCCCGTTAGCGAAATGGCCTAAAATATGGCTGCCAACTATCGTCCATAATTTCATGAGCAATTTTGGGAACCAACTGGAGGTTGAGTGCGGGGTGTTTCGGGGGGTTCAGGGGAGGAACACCAGCTCGCATGGCCACGAACGATGTTGCCGGCAAAGTGCAGTGATAAATCAGATTGTCACTTTTGTATATTTGCACCAACTGACGATGCCGTCTCCCTTGGAACTGCATGCATGCGAAAGCAGGCTTTTCATGCGTTTATGCACAGCAGAGAGCACACAAATATACATATGTGTTTTAAGATTCAAGTTTTCTAAAAAAAAACATTCATACCGAAACACATTTGGTTCTACGAACTTTAAAGAATTTTAAATATTAACAGAAAAGCACTTTGCTGGCAGTTTTAACTACCAGTTCTGAAAACAGCATTTTGAAAAAGTAATATTATTTTGAACACCACTGCATTTCATGCAAGCGACAGCCTTAAAATAAGTTCGCCAAAGGAAAGGGAACTAAAAAGCGGGAAAACAGGAATGCATTTCACTTTGCCGACGGGCAACGAGTCATAATTATTATTATTTTGATTATTGCACCTGAAAGATGGCATTATTAACAACGCTAATGTGGCGAAACAGGGATGGGATGTACAGATGAGCAAAATTGCCACTGGAAAAAATAAATATTAAAAAAAGTCTCCTTTATGTGTTCAATTACATTTGAGAAAAATAATACAATAATTGGGCACTTAATTAAATGATTTCCTATTGTGCTCGTGCTCGCAAGGGCAAAATTAAATGTCAATAATAATATCATTTAATTGAAAAATGAACAATGCACTCTAAAACATAGAAATTGCATGTTATTTTGCTAATTAGTACAGGTTCATTGTTTAACACTTTGCATCTAAAAAAATTTGTAAGAATTTATTGTAACACAATTACTAAATCAAAAGAGTTCAAAAATAAAATTAAACTTTATATTAAGGCTAAATGAGAAAAATAAAATTGGGTAAATAATTGAAAAACAATTACAATTTTTACTTATTAAATTTTTTCTAATAAACAGCTTCTCCATTCTGCTCCTAAGAAACTACAGCATCTTCACGCTGGGAAGCCGGAATCTCCGTGGATTTTTCAGGCTGATTCGTCTCTTCTTCGTCCAGCTGCCTTGAGAAGTCGATGTGTCCCAGAAACTCCGACATCTGGGAGCAATCCACGGATGTAGCTTCCTTCCAGCTGGGACTCTTCAGCTCATCGATAAACTTCAGATGCCTTTCGGCACAATAGGGCTCCATTATGATGGAGTGCGGGTCATCTGTCATCGGCTTGTCGTACATGTGATCTCTCGATGAGATGGCCAGTTCCTGGACACGTTTAATATACTCGGGTCGACTTTTGGCCAGCATGTTGAGAGCCTCCATATTATTCACCTCATCCATGACAACGAGGTCACCCGAAGATGATTGTCCAGTACAAATACTACCCTCAGGATCGGCAAAGATTGCTTGAATATATCTAAGCAAGTGCCAAATATGGTGATCATCCTTACGCCACTCCTTGAAGAAAGGCGCCAGATCCAGGGTCTTATTTTGCGAACAAATATGCGGATGGAGTACCGCCGTTGAGAAAACCACAGTGGGCAGGATGGAGTCATCCGGAAAGTTTTCCGGCAGCAGAATGGAGAAGCGGAACACGCTGCCCGCATAGATTCCACTGTGCACGAAGATCACGCCAAACCAGAGCAATCCGCAGGTGTAACTGGGAATCGCGTAGATGTTCTTCATCTTCTCCTTCACCAGATTGTATTCAGCCAGGATCCTATAGCCCTGGGTGATGAGGGCCAACCGCTGACTGCGTCTCATTGTATACCACATGGCGATCACAGGGTTTGGCTAATGCCAAGGTTATTGCTCAGGATTCGAAAAAGATGTTGAGGATAACTGGAAATTTGGTTGAGCAAGTGGAATCCTGCGGATCGTGTGGGTGTGTTATTTATGCTCAGAGGACATTAAATTTCAATACACAAACTACATATTTTGACAAAAAACTCTTAAGTGTTTGAAGTTCTTGAGTTGCGAACCCTGCTTTAATCCTTTCATGGAAATCAACTTTGTTATTATGACTCTGAAATACTATTTATTATATCATTTTTACAATACATTATAAATGTTAATTACTTTGATCAGTGTATCTTGTACCAAATAATGTGCTCACTTACATTTATGCGGCATGTCAAGTGACTGCAAAACAACATACGAACGGGAATTGTCCGCCGAGACCTCAAAAAACTATGTCTGTCCAGTCACAACTACATAAAGCCCCGAAAGAGGAGGCAAGGCGGAAACTACCTGCAGATGAGACTGGAACTGGGGATCTGGAACTGGTACTCAGCGGCGTATTCAATCATGTCAAGTGTAATAATTTTTGCGAATAGCAGATACACGCGGCAAAACCAGCCAGCAGCCTTGGGGAGTTGGGGATTTGGAGAACTGGTGAACCGGAGAACTGGAGACGGGACTTAGACCGTATTGCATGTGTGAGTGCGGATTTTTGATTTATTGTCGCCACGATGTTCTGATGTACGGTTCTTTCACGCACTGGCAACATAATGTGGCATTATAATGTCGCATGTTCTGGCCGTGTGAGCTGGTGTTTGAGTTCCCCGTCCGTGTGATTTGTTATGAATTTATTATGTGACGGAAGTGGCTTTGGCATGGCCAACTGGTTAAACAGGCGAAAATGTTTGCATGCCGATGGCCGCAGCTGCTAATTGGCGTCGCTCACCTTTCCTCCTCAAGGAATCGCTTTTGGCAGGAAAGCGAAATAACTTTGGATATTTTTGGCACATCGGAAGAATGGTTGTTTTACTCTGAAGGAAAGTATTTCAGTTTATAGCACAATCAATAGTAAGTAAGTTTATAAATTAAATGAATTAGAATGTGATGTTTGTTAATTTAAATGATTCAATTGAAACCAGTTATATTAAGAACCAATTTTAATAAATAGAAAATATTAATGTATCATATTCTTTGTTTATCTAAAGTTTCGTTTATGTTTCTTAAAGAGTATCTCCTGTTTGGTTTTGCAAAGCGAAACTTTCTCCCTTGTTTGGCATTATTTTCATGTTGAGTTTTTTTGGCGAACATATCCAAAACACAGACTGACACCGAGGGACAGACAATGACGCTTCCTTGATAAGTTCAGCCCAGAAAAGGGAATGAAACGAATGCATAAACGTGCAAGCGATAAGGGAATTGCCAAAAATAATGAACGGAAATAAAATTTGGTGTTGCGGGGCTTCAACTCATTAAAAATTACTCCGCGATATGAGGCGATATGATACGTTATGATTTGCGACTGTGGAACCGCGAGACTTTCTTTATTTCTTACGCCCCAAAATGGGATTGGATCGGACCGATCCGACCCGGTGGTTAACGCCAGTTGTCAGGGCTTCTCTGACATGGGTGCAACACCCAGGCGTGGAAAGAGATTCACAGCCAAGTCATTTTCACCTACACTTTGCAATCCTCCTTTTCTTGAGACCTGCAACCCATGTCAGAGTGTTTGGCCCCAGGCAATTGCTAATATGTGTTCCGATTTCTGGGGAGGGGGGATTGCACCTGTGGGGGATTGGGAAGACCGCTGGCTGTCACCTGGCGACCACGAGCCCAGCATTCAATTTCGGATTTCATTCCAGCTCGAACTCATATGCGGGCAGCAATTTCTCCGCCTTGCAGCCTGTCCTTCTTATCAGCTTTCTTCATTTTCGCTGCGTTGCCTTTTGGGAGAACGAAGCACCGACTTCACAGCAGACCCATCCCGATTTTGAGACCCGGCATTTGTAATACGGTGGCATATAACACTTAAGTGCTTGTTGTTGTTTTATAAGATAAACTCTTGCGGGGCCCACATACGTCCATTTCGAAGGAGCCGGCGGATAACGTGTTGCCAATTTCATTTACTGGCACTTTCATTAACCAGCGCGAGAAAACCCATCCCACCAAAAAAAATGAAACAAAAAGAACAAAAAAAAGTATCAAAGTCGAATAAAATAAACGAATTGGCGTGTTTTAAAGTTCTCGCTGAAAGTTGCGGGTTGGCCGCAAATGTTTGCTCTGTCCGCAATGGAGTGAGGGAATTCTGCGAAATGTACTCAAATGAAATGGGTTTGTATTCCAGATTCGGCGATTGCTATCAATCAGTTATTTACAGGGAAAGCTCGGGAGTGTAGTCAACGGGAACACAGTTCAACCGAACAAAAACAGTGGGAATTGTGAAAAAACATTTACAACAAAGCCGAGTTTCAGGAATTGAACTTCTCTTTTCTTATCTTTGTGGGGCTCATTTAAATTCTGACACCTTTGCAATTAAAATATTTCCTTTCTCAATTTAAATGAGAAGAAATATGACAAAGATAAAAGCTAATTTAAAACCTTTAAGATGGCTTAGAAGATCTTATATCTATAAAGATCATTAATAATATAATTCTGCAAAGCCGCAAATATTCTTTTTCTAAATCAGATAAAAACCATTCATTCGATTGGCTTGCTTTTTGATTCCTTTGAAATATATATTTCTGTTGTTCAAACTGAAGTAAAAAGCATTATGAATTATGATCCTACAATAATCTTTATTGCCTCGTTGCTGCATACTTTCAGGCAGTGTCATAAATAGTCGCACCTTAAAACCAAAGTGTGGAAATGTGAATTATTTTGGCCATTATTGATTTATGCGAAGAGTGTCTTGTGGGCAAGACGATGGCTGTGGCCAAATGCAATCCCAGACTGTGCACTGCCACTGTGTGTGGCTTATTCAAATTCAAATTAGATTATATGCAAACACCGGCCACTCTTTCACTTGCCGTTCTTTATTATTATATAGGAATGCCGACCGAAAACAGCAAAAACAGCGACGGTCTACTAATATTTGCATAATCGCAGGCAGCTCAACGAAGCTGAGCCGAGCTGGCCAACATGCGGCAAAGCAATTATTTCTTTAAAAATAAATTGCATGCACAATTGGTAGCAATAGCAATTGCAGAAGCAACAACAACAATAACTACAATAACAAAATACCCACGGAGGACCACCAGAGAATGGATCCAAACGGTTGGCAGTCGGAATCTGGCCGAATGCAGGTCCCGACGACGACGAATTTGGTCAGAACTTCTTTTCTTTTTCTTATTTTTTCTTTTTTTTTTTTTTTGACCATGGAAGAGGAGGTTGAGCCCAAGAAGCGGGGGGGAAGGGGGCGTGGCAGCTTAGCTCGTTTTTGCGATTTGTGTGTACGCCTCATTCGTTTATTTGCATATCGATTTGGAGTTTTTAGTCCGCCAGAAAACCCACTGGTCGGTCCTCCTTCCACCTCCCCTCCTAAAAGTTTCCCCCAAAATACTTGGCATGATTTTGTTTGCCCACAAACAATTGCATAATTGCCCTGCATCTACAAGTTTCGAGTCTGTTGGCTAAGCATTTAGCTTGGGGCTTCAGCCTATAAATACAAAGCCCGAATCTCAAGTGCAAGCTCAATTTTTATAGCACACTTATATAATCTATGGATCGCAATCGTTATCGCTCGATGGGTGACATAATGCCAACCGATATGCCCGATAAGCACGTGCCATTAGCCCGATTTTATCAAGGAAAAATCTAAGTTGTGTAGCTTGTCGATGGCTGCAATATTCTTAATTTGCCGCATGACCCGAATTCTTGGCCAAAGTTTTCGGGCAGTCACGTAGCCATAACGCGTTGTTAGAACCATTGTTGTTGCAGGAAAATTGAAAACTTTTGTGGCCTAAAAATTGTGGCCATCAAACTTGGCACATAGGCCATGATTCAGTTAACCGTCAAGAACTTTCAAGTACCTTAAGTTTAAATAACTTTTATGGGTCTCAGTAAAGTAATATATACCAAAAATATGTTTGTATTATCTAGCTAACTTTTTATTTTATTACTCTTTAGAGAACAATTCGGTACAAACTTTGTGGGTTATAATTTTATTTGAATTTTATTTTCTATCTAATTAACTTTTTTATTCTATTTACTTTTCACAAAGGTTGTGGTAAATAATTATATTGAAGCTGGCTTGTATTTGCATAGAACTAGGGTGCATTAAATTTTATAATCACACCATAACCGACAGCACCGACTTTTCTAACCGCCTCGGGAAATAATTAAAATTTTCACTTACGTACTGGCTTTTTTCGGTCTTTTGGTTTTTCCTTTTGCCTCGTTAGCAGTCAGCCCTTTGACCAACCAGCTAACTCTGGAAGGGTGAAGCCCTCGGAGCCAGCCACTCTCATTATGTCCGCTTGCTTTATCATGTTCCATGTTGACATCCGCGCGGACACAAATGAAGCAATTTTCCTGACATGCAAAACGTGCAACAGTTGCGACTGCCGCCGAGTAGGAATCGGAATTGGAATTGGAATTGGGAATTGGAGCAACTGTTGCTGGTTGCCGGTTGCTGCAGTTAATTTTCGTATATTTAATTCGCTTTAAATTATTGTAGAGCGTCCATGACGTTGGTAGCTTGGCCGCTCTTTGATGTGCACCCCGTCACCCATCAGCCGTTAACCATTAGCCAGGCCAAAAGACGCCAAGAGACTCCAAAGGTAAGGCCAGTAAAAAAAAAGGAGCAGTCTGTGCAGCTCAAGCTCAAGCTCCGTCTCAATGATCCATCTGTGCAATTTGCAAGGCAAATCAAAGGCTTAATGAATTCATTTCAATTAAACAAACAAAAAGCGAATCAAACCACAACCGCATCAACGGCGATAGACAGTTTGCATTAATAAATCGTTTAGCTGGGAGCTCCGTTTCGTATATCTCCGCCGGGCCAATCCATTTGAACTTGGCATTTGTGGTCGGAGTGGAGCAAAAAGCACTACAAAGAAGCCCGTATTAATTGATTCTGATCTTTGGAGTTGGGCCCATGCAGCTGCCAACCGAAGAATGGGGCTTATTTAAAAGGTTACAGGTCTTGTAATTGGTGTCTTCTTTTTAATGAGTAGTTAGTCAATCTATTAAAAGAATTAGTTTTTGTACGACATTATAAGCCTTGATCG